CTGAATTCCACCTTCTGCCACTTACTGGTTATGTGACTTTGGACAAGTTTATTTAGCCTTTCTGAGCCTATAAAATGGCAATAATAATAAATTTCACACGATAATTGTGAAGATTAAAATAATTATCCAAAAGATCTACACCTGATTTAGCAACTAACACATAGAAGTGTAATAAAAAAAAGGGAAAATTTGCTCTATATGGAAAACCTACTAAGCAAATAGAACTAGAATTATTTCTGTGGGATTTTACGGACATAAAGCACATTAACACGATTTTATTACGACACCATAAAAATTCAGCAAAGCTGTTTAACGGGGAATTATTTAATTTTTAGTATAAGTGAACTATCTTATTCTGGAATAAATTCACCTATTCCTAGAACATCCACCAGAACACATCACCATCAAGAACAAGTGAAAATATAACCGGTATTTAAAAACATTTTCAAATCAGCTGTTTAGTACGCATTTTCCCATGAAACAATACTGTAAATGGTAGCAGGGCTCCAAAGGACCCAGAGAAGCCTAGTCAACTGGTAATCTGGCTGAACCATAGAATTATAACTTCTCAGTATGTCTGTACCTAAATGAGTCCCGAGTACATTTCCTTTGACTTCTAAGTGAAAACAACTTTCTACCTTCTTCTATCTCCCTTGGCATTTAGAAAACATTCTTTGTCTTTAGCGGTCAGCAGCTGTAAGAAGAGAGACCTACGTTGCAAAAGCAGACGGCTTATTCATCCCTGGAACCTACAATTTTGTTTCATGTCTCTGACTTACATGTTCCTGATGCCCAATCTCCCTGTTAAATTTCTTTTCATTTTTCAAAACCCAGTCCTGACGCTGTTACCATCTAGTCCCTGTTACGTTACAAAGGAAGTTACATAGCATACGGTGGCGCAGTGCATGGATGGGCTTGAAATCTTATAGTCTGAACTAACATCCTACCTCTACCGCTGCCTAGTGTATGATCACGGTGAGTTAACACCTCAGAACCTCAGTTTTATTACATGTAAAACACGAATAACAGTGATGCTACCTACTTCATAGGCCCGGAGTGAAGATTAAAGGAGATAATGGAAGTATAACACTAGGCACAGCATCTGCCACAGAGGGACCCTTAAACGAACGGCAGCTACTATAATGCTCTATTTTTCATTATGTACTCCAATTTATTTATTTGTATGCCTATCTCCATTCTTAGCCTGTGAGCCCCTTGAGGCTATGGATTGTATTTCAATCTTCTTTATCTTCATTTCTAAACCCAGTGTCTAGTATACAGTGGGTGTTGTGATGATAGATGGGTGGGAGGGGAGGGGAGGGGAAGCTGGGTTAAGGAAAGCACTTGAATTGGGGCCCAGATTCTTTTCTATGTAAGCCATGAGAACAGGATGTAGAGAGAGGGGAGGATTTAACCACAGCTCTTGCCAGGTCTGGGGCAGAAAGGGTTTCCAGGGTGGCTGATGCAGGTCTTGGCAGGGTCTAAGAGGCTCCAAATTAAAAGATTTCTAAGGGAAGTAGATAAAGTTAGGAGCAAAATTAGTTAGGTGGTGAGGGTAGGAATTGCAGGAGTTGGGAATCAGAGAAGAGACTTGGATGAACGATAGTAAGCTGCTGCAGGAAGTGAAGATAAATCTCCATTTGCAATGCTAACAGGGAGAGAGAGGGAGCTGTAGAATTCACTTACTGGATATATTCAAATTCACATGTCAGAGAGGAACAACACAGTTAAAATATTGTCATTAATTGCCATTCTTCAGATTTTAAATATTGATGAAATGTTTTCTAACCTAAAGTCTGTAAGCAGCAGAGAAAGAACTGACCAAACAGGATTCAACCCCGGCACAATCATTGACTACTTGTGTAACCATGGGCAAATCACTTAATCACTGTGAGTCTGTTTCCATATCCATCCAACCGAGAATACCACTATCATGTGGAATTATTACGAAGGTTGGTAATAATAAATATGAAGTGCCTGAAACAATGCTTGGACAATTTACCAATGCTTGGCAATGCTCACTCAATAAATAGTAACTATATTTTATAAATCAACAATATATTCAGCCATTCATCAAAAATAACCTGCTTAATCTCTTTACTATTTCATACAGCTAACTATGATAAGTGGTCACAGTTATAACATGTACAACATTGCTGTATGTTCAGGAAGATGAATCTGCAAAGCCTGTCTCAACATTTCCTTTGACATTTACAGAAGTACAAAAATCAGCTAGCAAAGTGACTATTAACAGTCACATGTTCAAATATAACAATATTTGAAAGTTAATGTTTATGTTGAAAGTCAAAGATTCTGGCAAATTCTAGCAAAAAGTTAAGTTGGAGAGATCAGATTGGTTATCTTTTTGTCACTGTCAAGTGCTATATCACAGGAATGAAACTAGAATAAAAGGGTGACACCTTATTGAACTCTCTTAAGATGCTGGTCCAACAAACAGTAATTTTCGTAGTAAGTCCACTACAGCCATTATCTTGGTTTAAACTTTTACTTGTGTTCACTTATCCTTTCTTTAGTTATAAAACTGTGAAACAGGTGAAGGTATTAAAATCTGCTCAGGAAACATAATGAAAGGAAATCTCCAACTGAAGATCTATAAAGGTTTCATATTATCTAGTAAATTTAATCTCTTCTTTGCTTTGAAGAGTCACCATAAGCTGGCTCTGTTCAATCTATCCTTATTTCCCACAATTCAGTCACATCAATTCTTCATCTCCTCTAAACTCCGAACCCCGCACACACTGTCACCTCTGTGCTCACCAGCTGTACTGTACTCACTCTCCTCTCCACCATGTTTTCTGCCTGGGGCCTGCTTAAGCCCAGGACTCTGGTCTACTCTGAATTGCACAATTAGCACCTCATCACAAACTGTTCTAAGTTTTTATTTTTATTTTTTTGAGGAAGATTAGCCCTGAGCTAACATCTGCCACCAATCCTTCTCTTTTTGCTGAGGAAGACTGGCCCTGAGCTAACATCCATGCCCATCTTCCTCTACTTCATATGTGGGATGCCTACCACAGCATGGCCTGACAAGTGGTGCCACGTCCGCACCCAGGATCCGAACCAGCGAACCTTGGGCCACCAAAGCAGAACGTACTAACTTAACCACTGTGCCACCAGGCCCAGCCCCTGTTCTAAGTTTTAACTTGCACAGCTAGCTCTATATTTTAACAGTAGAAAATTCTACCTTATTGATTAATTTTGTATTCATGTTTGCATAAGATAAATGACTGCTTTCACAGGCCACATATAAAAAACTGACATTAAAGTTAAACCTTGTGTGAACTATTTTCTGCCAGTCCTGATGAAGAGAATATCATCATTTTTAGTTAAGGTACATGACAGGCAGAATTAATGTTTGTTGACTGATTTTTAGACAAGTCTAAGAAATAGTCAATCCATATACAATTTTCTTAATTCAGCAACATCGAAGTTTCCTTATCTTCCTTAAATGGGAGACTGTTTTATTTTAGTCATAATTTTCTTTGAGAAAACCTTTTGAACACAAGGAATAATTCCTGGGGTTCTCAAAAGAATAAGGATTTCTAGAAAATGTTTATTTGTAACTTGTTCTTTCATACATGGCTACTAGGAAAAAGAACGGATTATAAAAAATGTACACAAATAAGTCAAGATTATACAAGATCCTGAATTCCTCAAATGTTCTCACGGCTGAATATCAGTATTTACAGGAACGACCCCCAAAATTTCAGGACAAATTAAATTAAACCACATCTAAGATTTAGCATTTTGGTTAATGTTTTGTTTCTTCATTCGGAATTTGCTTAGGTTGACTATCCAGGAGGTATCACCCAAAACACTCTGACTTTAACTGAAGGGTGTAATACCAGGAAAGGGTATTGTCCAAACTTCTTCCTTTGAGGTTTAAATTAATTTAGTGGCCAAAATGAGTTTCTTTCTTAACAAATGAGGTTTGTTACCCACTGAAATCTCATCACTGTGAACAAAAGTTATTGTACCAAAACTCAAGATAAGGGGCTGGCTCCGTGGCCAAGTGGTTAAGTTCACGCGCTCTGCTGCGGCGGCCCAGGGTTTGGATCCTGGGCGCAGACATGGCACCGCTGGTCAGGCCACGTTGAGGCAGCGTCCCACATCCCACAACTAGAAGGACCTGCAACTAAGATATACAACTATGTATTGGGGCGGGGGGGGGGGGGGTAGGGCGCGTTGGGGAGATAAAGCAGAAAAAAAAAAATAAAAAAGATTGGCAACAGTTGTTAGCCCAGGTGCCAATCTTAAAAGAAAAAAAACAGATAAGAAACATGCTTTTCCATTCATGTTTAGCTAGATATTTATCATTAGAAAATGATAAAGGACAAGGAAACTGACCTACAGCCACATTAACAAAAAGTATCTCTCTAATCAACACACATTAGTTTAAAATAATTTCAATTACCTAGTATAGTACCTATAAAACTATCTGAAAATTTCACGAGTTGAATCTCACAGATTCAAGGTGGTGCCAGTTTAAAAAGCGTTCAGATACTAAGAAATCTGTTAACTGATGTTAGGCAAGTATCCTTTTTTGCAATCTCAGTAATACTACCACCACGAAGGGGAAAAGAAGACAAGAGTAAAAAGACTTCCCTCTATCTGTAACGGTAAATACCACAAATCTATTCTACAGGTATAAAGAAAATTTTAGTTTAATTGAAGTAAATTTGACACCTAGACAGACTATCAAGGGTTTTCAGATCACAATAAAAAAACAAAATACTTGCCATGCAAATTTTAATTGATCATTTTAGATCACCATTAAAGAGGTTTAAGGAAAATTAATCCTCTATATCACAAGAAAAAAATCTTAAGAAGAAGGCAATCTTCTAAAATAGTATTATTAACTATAATCAAGGATTCACAGAAAACACTTATCATGAAAGAGTCAGTCATAACCAGTAAGCGTTGCTACAATACAGAGGAAGGAAGAAAGAAATATGTGAAGATCAAAATTTATCACTTACCTCATGATTCAGCTCCGCTATCTGATCTTTCAGTTCCCTAATACACTGGTTAGAGTCAGACTTGTTAAGTTGTCCTTGAAGCTTTCCTTCTTCTTTCTGTTTTGTGACAATACAAAAAAGCAAAAACAAGAGACCATTTTCACAGCAGGTACTCAAATATTTGAAAATACCGGACAGCATAAGGCATATCCTTTAACTGGCTAAATTCTGAACAAAGCTGTTTTCAAAGTATTCCAGAAAAATAATTCATAGTAAACTATACTGAATATTTCTAAATAATGCTTAATAGAAGTTGTTTAAAACAAATGCAACTTACAACGTACCTTTTGAGAGACTCTTAGAAATCAATACATAATCAAATAGGTCTACTAGTGAAAAAATTACTCTAGAATTTCAAAGCCATTTATTTAGTTATTTTGGGGGCAAACGATTTTCTATCCATAAGAGATTCAGTGCTTAGCTGAGAAGGTGGTGAGCCTCCCACAGCCACACTGGGAATCTGCTTTTGCTTGGGAAACAGAGAAGAAGGGGAAAAAATAAAACATTCTCTAAACCACTCTCCAAGAGGAGGACAGTGCTGAATCGCTTCTGTTTAATTAGCTCATGAATATGTGTCGTGAGGCCCAGATGTAGCGGATGAAAAGATGCTCCAATCCCTAAGGGCTAGTTCCAGAACTGTGCTGGGATCATGTTCCAGGGATAGACTGGGAAGGGGGGGAGCTGCCTTTTTCTTATACCACCTGAAAACAAATGTGAACTTTTAAGAGGAAGAGCTTAGTAGAGAGTGAAAATAGGTTTTTGCTATCTCCAGATCATCTGTAATTAGGAAGCCATGTGCTGATGCTTAAAATGTTAAGAAGCTCTGATTCAGAGACTTCTACTGAAACTACCGAGTAACTCCTGATAGCATAAAAGTACTGGTTTACTTTTAATAGTCACCAACCACTCGGTTTCCATCCATGGAGACGAACACTGTTAACAGTTTTTTAGTGTAATCTTCCCATGGTATTTTGTACATATATAATCAAACATACATGTATACACACATATATTTTTACTCTTACTGTGGACACCATACACAGTTCTACTCTTATCTTTCAAGAATACAACTTGAAGATCATTCAATATCAGTACATACAGAGCACAAAAATAACCATTTTGATTTAAGAGAGCTTTGAAGTTCATGTAAGTTATCTTCATGCTATCTGAAGATTTATAGTTTTTTTTTAAAGTAGGTTTTGAAATGTGCTGTAGGTCCTGTACATTTACCTTGAGAGTAATGGGTTGCAGTGAAGAGCATTTTCCAACGTGGAGATCCCTATACTACCTTTCCTTTCACAGTAAGAAGGGACCTGGGACATCATCTGGTTTGGTTCTCCGACTGAAGCCAAGTCCACCCTGTATGTTCCTTTTATACACCCTCCCCTAACATCCTTGGCAGAAAGAACTAACTAGAATTGCTCCAGCAACAGAATGGGTAGCTCCCCTGTAGAGTCAGGCATCATTCCAACAGCACTGCTCTTCTGCATCAACTGTCCTTCTAACAACAGGCCTACTAGGACCAGTTCAACTGACCCCATCTTATCAACAGAGTAATTGAAAGCTGTTTTTCAGGAATTGAGAGTCGACCCCTTGTCCAGTTCAGGCCAGTTGAGACCACCGACCCATTAACTGGGCCTGTGCAAATGCCCCATAGGCAACCCTTTTGATATGTGGGGACTGAAAACTCCACCCGGAGATCACACCAACACCACCATTTTGTGAACATGCGTCCTATGAAGAGCCATGCAGCTTGACTACACTTGCGCAGGTCATCAATTACCTCACTTCTCCTCACCTCCCGTCATCTATCTCCACACTTCAGACCGCCCTGCTCTTCTAGCCCATAAATTTTGCTCCAAACCCTGCACTGGGGAGACCTTGCAATAGAGCTTTTTCTTTTCTCAAAAGCTGAGGCTGTAAATAATTGTTTTTTTTTATGCACATCGGGCAGAGAAGCCCTTCTTTGTGCAGTACCATCCTTGCCACCTTGATTGCATTCTTATGTACCCTTAGTCTGTTCTTCAAGTCCTTTCATGAAGTTATTCCTATAAGCCCCCTCCCCCTTTTGTGTTTTTGGTCTTTTTCTTTTGGCAATATGTCTTAAAAACCATTTATTAAAAGATGGTCTGCTGAAGCAGTCTGAAGTAACTAGTATTTGTACAGATGTAAAAGAACAACCATAGTTTCAACAGGCTTTAAAACTTTTCTTATATACTTATTTTTAATATTTTTAATATTTTTTTTTTTGTGAGGAAGATTTGCCCTGAGCTAACATCCATTGCCAATCCTCCTCTTTTTTTGCTTGAGGAAGATTAGTCCTCAGCTAACATCTGTGCCAGTCTTCCTCTACTTTGTATGTGGGATGAGTGGAGTAGATCCACAACTGGGATCTGAACCGCGAACCCCGGCCACCAAAGCAGAGCACGCAGAACTTTAACCGCTCGGCCACCTGGCCCTCCCCCAAAACTTTCCTTACGTATTTAAACACGTGAATATCACATATAATCATCTATGCAAAACTAATTTAACAATTACTATATTCCAAATGTGCTAGGTTTCTTAAATATATACAAAAGACACTTATGATTTTTCAGCCATAAGCCCATATTTGAGAAAAAAATTTTTTTTAAAAATTTAGTTAGAAATATTAGTTCGATGGCCAAAGAACCAACAGAAAAGCAGAGATACCAAGTCAGAGTCCTAATCGTACCATCTCTGAAGCCCTATCTGTTCTTTCATTTATACAAACAATAAAGTGCCTTTATTATTTAAATCAGTTTGAATATGGGTTTCTGTCACTTGCAAAAAAAATAATAGCTAACATATCTTGACACTTATCAGACCTTCTCAGTTGAGGTTCCCCAAAGGAATTAAGCCCTAATGCCTAAAGCATCATTGTATGTAATGATTTTAACTTATCTCCTATGCATCTAAAATGGTACCAACTATGTACTATCCTTAGAAGAATTGAGAAAATAGTTACTCAAATTATTTTCTGTAGGACTTAATTCTCTTGTGGTGCCCGGGTAGAGAAAGACTGGGGTTACAATGTGCTAAGAATTATTCTAAGCCCTTTACATGCGATCATCACAACAACCTTGCGGAATAGATATTATTATTCCTACTTCCTAGATAAGGAAATTAAATGAAGGATTTAGTGAACTGGTTGCGTAAGAGTCACAGAAACAGTTGATACATTTTTCACCCTAAGTTACAGCATTCTGAACATGAGAAACAATCAAGTAGACAGGAATATATGGAGATTTATGCAAAGGACCAAGTAAATTAGCTTTCTTAGATTTGTTACAAAAATCTGTCTTTAATTGAATATTTATTTCAGCCCCTGCTGATTTAAATGGGAATTACAATATAAAAAGAAATAAAGATGAAATGCTATAGCCACTTGCATTTATGGCTGTAAGCTAATGACCCATATTATCAATTTACAGTTGTCCAATACCACTTATGTGTACTTATGCCTGCATCTTATTTTTAATCACTTTATTTTTTAAGAGAAATATTTCAAAGGCACAGAACAAGAACAAAAGAGTAATATAATAAAGACTTATGAACCGACCACCCAAATTCAGTCTGTTTCATGACTATCTTGTCTTAAGATTTTCCTTGGCTCTAGTCTTACTCCATCTCAGTCCTATACATCCCCAAGCAGGAAAGCATGATGTCAAGCAGACAAGAGTAAGTAGTGAGCAAGTGAAGCGAGAAAGAAGAGAAGGAAGAATGGAGGAAAGAGAAAAAAAAACATGGAGGGAGAATATTCATTGATGTAAAATAAACGAAGACATTATTCCTATAGAATGTGTTTTCCAAATCCCATACGCGACATGAGAAATGACAGCAGCAACTGAGTAAGTAGATATACTTCCAAATGAGGATTAATTTGATGAGAAGTACTCATTTGGATATGTGTCCAGCTGTCCTTTTGGATGGTTTTTACTTTTAGTCTAATTTTAGTATCACGTCATATTGATTCCCTTGGAATGGCTGATTGAATGAAAGCACAATCCACTACTAGGAAGAAATCCTTCTGGATGAGATGGAAAGGCTAGATGTATGTGGTTTGGAATCAGACTTGGAGAAAGGTGCCTTTAAATATCGTTCCCAAGGAAGGCAAAGTTCTCGAGAATTTTGAACATCCCACAGCAATAATATCATGTGGGATAAAATAAAAATTTCAGGGCAAATAAAATGACAAAGCCCAAGGTAAGCTCTAATGCTGTAAGACAGAAGTTCAAGAATGCAGAAATACTTTAGGTTTGAAAGGCTGTAGAATGACCAGTAATAATAATTAGTACCAATTCTTTCCCATAGGGAAATATGCATGAAAAAAATTTGGCAATATAGGAATCATTAATCTGTTTTACAAAAAGTGATGAAGTGACTCCAAAGATCTGTTTCCTCCAAAGGTGAGTCTTAGTAGGATTTAGCTAAGAACTTTATTATAGCACCTTGATTTCTTCGGAAGAAAGGCAGTATTTAATGAAAAACAGGGCAGTTAGGAATTTCAGGACAAAATATTGAAATGTTTTTACCTTAAAAAGAGAAGAGACTCCTGAAAGATACTTGTGAAAATCAAAGAAGCTCTCTTAGATTTATGACTAAAAAACCCAGGTGTTCCTTGACTTTCTATTATTGTAGAAAAAAGAATTTCAAAGAGAAAAACTTTATATATTTGATTAAATCCAATTGTATATAATTGTTTTTCCTAGATTTAAATACAACTTAATAAAGCTTAATATTGGGTTTCTTCTGCAAAATTTTTACATACAGAAAGTCAGACTATGACACCATTAAACCATTGTTTTTGTGGACACACACATAACCCTCAAGTAAAAACCTGTAAGGCATAGTGGCTAAACTGAGGAAAGAGGAAGGGTGGTTAAGCAGCTCCAGGCTCTATCAGCAACCCCAGGACGAGACAATCAGCATCCCAGCACACTTGTCACACATTAGTAGCACACCACTGTGACAGCCATGCCAACTGGAAAGCTCTGCATGGGGTATTCTGATTCTACAGTCTGCTTTAAGGGAATATA